ATAAAATCGTAACTGCAAGAAACAGAAAGGTGTTTATGTTTAATTTTCGTTTCGAAAGATCTGTTAAACATGGTATCGCTATTGTTTGTGTCTTTGCTTGCCCTTATCGTTGAAACAACGATTCTCTTTTTTTTGTCTCTACTGTAGACCATAATAGATATATTACCCAACAATGGGCACAGGCGCCAGTAATAATAAAGTGACACAATACAATACAATTCGACAATTAGCAACACTAGATCCGCTGAAAAAGCAACCTCCGTCGCAGCCAACCCAGCGAATCCCAGACCCTTTGCCACGTTCACCAACAATACATAAGTCGCAACACAAGCCAAGAAAAGAAGATGAAATTGTGTGGCCACTACCGCCAAATGAATACGAAGGAAAGTTTAAGGTAGCTTGGCGTTCAGAAGAGGGAAGGTATTCATTACAAAGGGCATATAAAGAGAAGGTAAACTTATACTGTGTTTGCTTGTTCGCATCTCATTTTCTTGCATTTTCTAATTGTAAGGAATGTGGAGCTTCTTGTGTTTTCTTTACAAATGAGCTTCTTCAAATTGAGCGAGTGAAAGTCCAAAATAGGAAAATGGATTCTATTCACAGGCTGCAAACCATGCATATTCAAATCGACTTTAGTTTTATTTTCTCATTTTTAGTTCTCACGGATATCAGAATGGACCACAGCGACAACAACGACAACAACCACAAAGACGATGAAGCATGATCAAAAAGAAACCAGTACTAGCCACTGGAACAAAATAAATTCTAGTATTTATGATTCGGCTCATGTTCAATCGACATTGACAACCCAAACGCATTCGCTCATTAATTTATCAACAACCGAAGAAGTAAGCAAGCTCATGACTAATCTCAACGACGCACACAGACAACTTGATGAAATTGTCAAAGAACGATTGCATATTATATCAAAGGAAACAGAACAGATAATCGGACAAATCAACATCGACACAAATGATATACAGCGAAATCTTTTATTATTTGCCAAAGCACGGCAGGAAGAGCAAGACAAGTTATATCGCGAGTGGCTACAAAAGTATATTGTCAAGTTGGATAGTTGGAAGTCAGCGCGGCTAGCCAAACTGCAAGGAGAACTGCACGAATACCAGAGAGTAATTATCGCTTCATCGCGGGAAAAAATTTCATTAGTCAATAATGAGGCGAACACAATCAAGTCGCGAATTTTAAGAGAGGAGCAAGAAAAGGCATCGCGTGAAATTAATACTTTGATGGCACAAATCGAATCGCTTTCAACACATCAAATACTTCAACATCTAGGCAGTGAAACAATGACGAATATGAATTTAACCATACTAGCGAATGTCGGTAGAAAAATGCCCGGTCAAGGAACTACGTTCGATTTTGTTCAGAACGGTACCATTGGTGGAAATGAAGACGGTACCGCCGTACAGTCGATGAATAGGAATCCTCCGAAGCCGCATACATACGGAAAAGTACAAGTTAACGCTATAAAATCAAAAGTCACTGTACGTGAAAAGTCTGAACCAAGTGAAGCGAGAAGTAGCGAAAACGAGGATGATGATAGTTTTCAAATAAATTCATGATACTAGGACTTTTCTTCGTGAATAGATTATCGTAAAACATTTCTCTGACTAATAAAATGCCGTAATATCTCTTAGTGCTGTAAATTTGTATATTAAAAAAAAAGACTTCGGGGGAGTGTGGGGTGGCTATCAGTATAGATGTTTTCTTCACTCACATCTACACCATGCTTAATAATCGAATGCAGAGTTCGTTCCGTGTACGTGATTCGCGTTTTTTTTACTCAAATACCAACACTGATCAGGGTTCTGCGTTACCTTTTCAAAACATCGATCAGAAAATAGAAATTTTGATCAATAACAAAAAAGTTATAAATAGCAGTCAAAACGAAAAAATCAATTCATCTTGCAAGGGTACCGGAACTTACAAGAAAGAAGTTTAATTTTATTGTAGATCGAATTGAACTTTTCAAATAAGACCGCTTGCATAAAATGATGGCATATTTTGATACGTTGAAAATAATATACATATCAAATTACATTTTCATATGATGAAAATGATGTAGAATTAATTTATATGAAATTTTGAATCAAATCTTACATCTGAAAATGATGGATATCAACTCTTTGCGCTATATAGTTAACGATTGATATCAATGCTATCTTCAAGTCTTTAATATTTAGAAGCCATCTAACGTCAGAATTCACCAAGAAAATAGTTAACAGAATTTAATCAATTTGTAATTTTAACTTGTATTAATCTATTTCTTTGCGCTTTTGGGAAATGCATTAGAATTCATTGTTTTATTAATAGTATCAAACCACAATAAACGTGTATCAATCGGCGTGGATGTTATTCAAATGATAATTAAGTTAATCAATATATCAAAATTGGAACGATTTTAACTTAGTTGCTCATTTTTTCAAGCTAATCATTCTAACACAATATTCTTTTTTTATTTTAAATCAAAAACAAATATAGATTTAATATACATGTAAAATAATAATCTCGATATCAGATGAGATTGATTTATATCAAAAGCAAAGTTTATCATTAGAAATAATATCACTCTTATAAAATATTTGCCTACTATTTAAAGATTGATACTGCTGCCATTATGACTAATATCGAATCATTTAACACATTTTGACATAGCAATAAAAGTATTTCGATTCGGATTCAACTGACAATGGATGTGGGCGTGAGGTGTGGGTGTGGGTGTGGATGTCGGTGTGGGTGTGACAGGGGATGGAGGACAGGTGCGCATATGGATGTGGATATTGGTAGATACTTAATTCTGCCCATACCATCACACACCCACACCTTTTTTTTATAATCAAGAACACATGAAAACCTGGTAAGTTAATTAACATTTCGCAAAGAAAAGCAAATATGAACATACAGTTTGGGGTGTGGGTGGCTTTTCCTTTTCCTTTTCCACTCTTAAAAGCCCGCCCATACCCATACCCACCCAGAAAATGAAATAGGACCATATCTAATGCCAGTGTATTCTACTTTCTAAACTTATACGACTAGTTTTCACTTTCAAAAATCCAATATTACCTGTATGAGATTGGATTTAGTAACAACAATACAATGTTACATATCCTCAAATAGATCACTAATCGTCTCAGAAAATATAGTCTCAAAAAACTGCTTCCATAACCTATTTCGCTGGAATACATAAGTACATTTTGAATTAATGACGATACTTTGCAAAACAACACTAGATCTATACCTCTATCGCTATAATGTCGACTTTAAATTCCAGACTTCATAATTTTGAGCAAAAACTTCTTCTCAACGTGAACTTATGACAAAAACATTTCTTGAGCGACTTTCACATGATGTACGATAATCAATCTGTATATATAATTATTTCACTTATGTATTTCGTCGTGGCATGATATTTGCGCGCGTGACACTTGCGCGCACGATACTTGCGCGTAAAAGTGATTCTTCTCCGCTTGACTTCGGTCTGGATCGAATATGACTACGGATGTTGCTTAGGCAATAAATGCTGACTGTGCGTGTGAGTGTGAGAGTTAAGTAATACGGCGGTCTTAATTCTAATTATTAATTGAGAAATCCTGAAAGAATCTTTCAGGATCCTGACTTCAAGGATCTTGCCAGGTTTTCTACAATATTCTACCGCAATTTTTGAGAGTACGTTTTTCCAGAGTTTCGCATAGGGTCAAAAAAAGTGGGCTCCCAATTGCGTAAAGTCTAAATTTCGAGCTCATTTTCTTCTCCGTTCCTCTGCTATGATTCGCAGCACAATCTAAAATGCTGGTAGTGTTCTCTGGGATGCTAAAGTGCTCTCTAAAATACCAGTACCATTTCCTGGAATGCTGGTGGCATTTCATGAGATTCTAGAAGCAATACCCTCGATGCCAGAAGCATCCCCTAGAATGCTAGAAGCATTTCATAGGACGCCAAAGCCATTACTGGCGATCCAAGAGGTATCTTCTTGGATGTGAAAGGCATGACCTACGACGTTAGTAGTATTTTCGATCATGCTTATAGTATTGCAGGCAATGCCTGCACCATCCCAGATGATGGCCATAGCATCAGAGCGATTTTATATTAGCATCCTAGGCAATGCTAGTGGGATCCTAGGAAATGCTTTTGACATTCAAGCTAGTGCTACTGGTACTCTAGACGCAGCTGCAAAGCATAAAAGAAGGTTTGACAAGAAAACTGAGGTCCAAGTTTGGAGTTCACATGCGTAGCTCAGTTTTCTTGATCTTTAAACGGTTAGCCAGGGTTTTGACTGGGATCTATTCAGGCTCTTATCGAAGTATTTCTTTAGATCATGAATGCAGTATTCTACGAGGATCTAAGCTTACTTCTGCTTAGGATCCTTACAGGAAAAATAGGGATGATTGTTTCAAGATGTCATGCACTTCGAACGCAATCTGCTCAGAACCCTGATTGGATCCTTCTAGGAATCTACCTTGGATCTTGAAATCGTATGGCTGTACACCTTCTTTAGGATTTAGTGGTTTCCTCAGGAAAAAGATAGCAAATCACTTAAGGATCCTGATTGGATTCGTGCAGGATCGCAAACAAAAACATCAAAGACCTTTTCTAGGGTAATGACAGTACATCACGAATTGTCTCGAACTACTGCTCTCCCATTGCAGTGGCACCCACCTTCCGCCACCACTACACTTAAACCCAAACAGAGACTCACTCCATGAAAAGAAATCATTTTGCGCGAAAGTGTCGCTGGACGCAGGAGTCATGAGCACAAGTGTCACGCGCGCAAGTGTCGGCGCGCAAATGTCACGTAACCGTATTTCGTTACCACTAGAGAGTTATTTATTTATTTTTATGATATATAGTCAAATAAAAAATAGAATAGGACAGTAAACGGAAAAAAGAATAGCATAAATAAGAGTAGTAAATCACTAAACATAAACAGTGAAGAATATTTTTTTTTTTCATTTTTGTCATTGATGATGTTCGACATTTTCTTATGGATCTGTAACTATGACTTCAATTTCAGCACGTTGAATAGCCGATTCTTCCCATGACCGTTTATAAACGAACGAAATCATGTAATTAGCAGCTTTATTAGTATTAAATTGCCACATCCAACATCCTAGACAAACTTAATTATTAGATTACTTTCATTAATATTTTTAACATCCATGCCATCCTTTCTAGCTCGTTCTGCTCTATAGACATTGTAGAGCTATACTATTAGAATTTTATAAATTTAATCGGAAATATAATTAAACAATTTTAGCTTCTAATGACGATGAGGCAAACTTTGTAAGATCTAACCTATAATGTCAAATATTTAACTTTGAAATATTACAGAATATTCTATAATTGAACGAACTATATAGAAAACCTGGGTATCACTGATTAATAAAAATATTTTCCCTGAATAATGTATGCGCATTCATTTACCTCCAACACCAGTCATGCCCTCAGGATGCTTATTCACAATGTATTCAGAATCAGCAGATTCAAGTGTACTTGGAGATACTTGCGTCCACATATAACCAGTAGTTGGATTGCCAGCAATTCGAACAAAGAACGTCGAATGTGAAGGGACAGATATGGATTGAATCGGCTGACTGGTGTCTATGTCAAATGTATTAAGGCTGGTTGCGATCGAATTAAATTTGGTAGAAGTCCCAGTACAGCTTTGAGAAAAAGTAAAAAGAGACAAGAAGACAAATAATGAAAACATAATCATGTTTAATATCTAGAACATAAATCAATCAATACTAATATTCACAATACTGACTTTGTGTCGAACAATGCATAAAAAACCATTACTCCTTGCTTTATGATCTCTTTGTTAATGTGCATGAAACTCACTTTGTTTAGATTCATCAACCAATAACACCTTCACGCAAAAGCAAAACGATCAATGAAAAATGCAATAATCCAATGGAACAAACAAAAAGTTTTCTGTTTTATTGATGGCAAATTAGATTTAATATTTCAGAGAGAATCTATGAAAAGACTTCTATCAAAATGCGCATAAAAACTCAGAAAAATTGTGCAATAAAATTTCTCTCGATATTTTTATATTCTCATAGATGAGAAGTTTTTCGTAAAAAGATGAGATCTATCAAATGGATCTAGATATGATGCATTAGGATCAGTATTCAAATTAGCCTTTTCATGGTGATTCGGTTCTTCGAGGAAAATAGCTTTAACATATTAATTTTCATTGCGAGCCTACACGAGATAAATGCATTCATTTATATTTTTAATATGTGCAGCTACTTCTTTTTCTTTCTGTTGTTTGTATCATCGCATAGGATGCCTTCTTTCAAATCGAACTGAATAGGTACTCAAGTTTTATCTTACTTTCCGTTACATGTATTAGACCGTAGGAACGAAATGAAGAAACAAAATTTTACTTCTTTTTTTTTACATTATTTTCGTAACATTAACGTTGACTCTATTAGGTGTGGGTGTGGGTGTGGGTGTGGGTGTGTGGGGTGTGGGTGTGGGTGTGGGTGTGGGGTGTGGGTGTGGGTGTGGGTGCGGGTGTTGTCAAAAGTACAATAATACTCACACCACGGACACCCACGCCACCGACACCCACACCCACACACACACCCACACCCACCCCACCCACACCTACACACCCACACCCACACCCACACCCATACCCACACCCACACCCACACCCACACACTCACACTCACACCCACACCCACCCACCCACACCTACCCATCCATATCCACACCC